CTTGTCAGTGAGTTATGCAATAACAATTAAAACGCGACGTAGCCGCGCCGCGCCGACAAAGGAAAACGAGCGGATGGACATAGCGGCAGAGGATTTGATCCGGATTATCTCGCGTTACAATAAGACGCGCCGGCGCGACCGACACGCGTCTCGCCACGGTAGCCTCTCACGTTGCCGTATTTCATGAAAAATCCACCATTTTAAGATGAAAGGTTGGAAAAAATATCGCTAAAATACTCATTTTGGTGTGAATGTTTGTGGGAAAACCACATGACTTCCTGATAAGGAATGATTAGTGTGTTCTGTTGGTGAAATTCACGGGGATTTTCTCAACGTTATATTTTCTCTGTCAAAAGGAAATAATGCGAGAGAAAATTTAGCAACGTAAAATGCAATTACGCTGGTGGTTACGCTTATTTCTGTTTCACTCTAGATGGGCCGAAATTCTCAGTGCAACGATGGTTACTAGTCCGAGAGCCGGACGATATTATTGGTGACAAAATCGTGACACTGGTTTTGACCACTGACCTGAGATGACTTGAGTTCGGTGGTCTTAGGCAATGGTCACTTGAGGCTGGGGTTACAGGCGTCGAATAAGCCTTATGGCTATTTGAAAATTGGTAAAAAACAAAAAAATAAAAAATAAAAAAAAAAAAAAAAAAAAAAAAAACTTNAAAAAAAAAAAAAAAAAAAAAAAAAAAAAAAAAAAAAAAAACAACTTAAATCTGGACTGACTGACACAGCAAATGCTTGTCTGTCACATGATGGCACACGCTGCAACGTGGGAGACGACAATTTTCTGTGTCAGTGCATGTAAAGCTATCAATTTAAGAGGCCAAGACTTGTGTCACGAGTTTGTCACTAAATTTCGTCCGGCTCTCGGACTATACCTACTTGAAGATTTGTATCTAGCACTGTCCGTAAAGCTTGACTCGAAATAAATCGTGTTAAACTTAAGCGTCTAATTTCAAGGCAAGCACTGATTTACTATTCTTAGGTCTATGAATAAATAAGCTATAAAAATGTACAATTCACTCTCAAATTCTTCGGAAAAGAGATATGCTTTCCTAGTTACGAGCAAGAAACGAAACTGGCACAGAGACACCAATAATAAAGTTCAACTGACTTAGCAACAGTGTCTCTGACTTAACAAGCCCTTCCCCGTTGTCCGTCCAGTTTTGTGTGTTTGTACAATTACAAACTCGGAACTCGACGTTTACATAATGATATTTATTAATGGTAATTAATGTACTAATGATTCAATCAGATTAGCTCCACAGCAGAGCATATTTTGGGACCAACATAGCATGAAACTTGGGTAAACAAACTTTCCGGAGTTCTACGAAATTAAATCATTAAAATTTTAATTTCAAAACGGAAGCACGCCTGCACGCAACCCTCGCCTCACGCATTCGATGCTCTACTTCGAGTTTTTCTTGCGTCTGTTGGTTCAACTGGAAATCTGTTCCAACATGGAAACTTCATTCATAGTTTACGAGTAAACAGCAAAAGATATTCTCCCAAGTCAGTGACAGTCGTATTTTTCCTCCGTGCAAATCTGTGTTGATAACAAAGACATAAAGACGGAGGGCTAAAAGCAAAAAATGAAGCTTCTTTTCAACCACCTCTACTATTGGCTAGAGGATTGGCGGCGAAATCGGGACAAGTTTGAATTCAAATATAGGGCGGGAACTGAATAAAATAATTGCGGAAACAAAGTATTCTAGGTTGATTTTTGCCCAAATTCACTTACCCACTCATATTTCTTTAACTTTAGGTTAGCTTTGGTCCGTCGACGACCGATTAATTTCATTTGGGAGTGACGGTCATCTAGAACTGTAACGACCTGTTTGAACCTGCAGAACCACCATGAGCAGAAGAAAAACTATCTTTATCTGAGATTACTGCCTGTTACTGAGCAAAAGTACGTGTATTATATTAGGACGCAGACCGAACTTTCTTGATATAATCGTTTTAGGCATTTAAAACACGTTTAGAAGAAGAAATAAGGAAAAATCAAGAGGACAAGTTCAAATCAAATTTCCGTTTGCCGCCATGGATTCCCGCGCTCATTTACACACTCACACAAGCACCCAGCGCCAAACCAGGCTTCACTTTCTTCCCGTGCTTTTAGATACGAGCACTCCGTCTTTATGTCTTTGGTTGATAAACAATCGATTCTTAGCGTAAGTTACACAACTATATTCAAAATCCCCGATGTCTGTGTTGTATATGTTGCCTGTGGTTCATTTCACACGATCAAACCGTGGTATCAATATATCAAGGTCGAAGACAATGATTGGTCCAAGTCATCGAATGAGCCAATCACAACACCTGACCTTGATATTACTGATAGCAGGGTTTGATCGTGTGACAATAGCTTAGGCGATGTTACTGAAGGCGAACCCTTAGAGAAAAATACCCGCCGATAAGTGTACTCAATGTAAATGGGTGATTTCACGATAATAGGAATAGTCGTGTCGCCGTGGGTTATGAACGACATAGGGCAAAACGATTGAAAACCAAATTAATTAATCAATAGGAATGATGTCCCTGAACCTATCCATGCTAAAAAATATGATGAATTATTGAGCGCGCTATGCTATAGCGGGCTCATTGGAATAACCCTCAAGGCGGCCGGTGAATCTAGATGCTAGTCCCATTGCATCCTGGGTTATTTTAAAGCCTCCTCGTGGCGGGAGCGTAGTTGAATTTTCGCATCGTTATAATTAAATGTGGAGACCGTATAGGGTACTGGTAACTGTTGTTCAATCAATCCCAAGAATAAAGGAACCTATTATGACATTTCGTGTCCTGCTAAAGCTCTGTAATATTTAAGTAGATACTGGTTTATTTTGAGGAAATGGGTGTTTGAAAAAGTAACTTTTGGTTACACGTGCAAGCCCGAAGCCGTGTACGTTTTATAAGCGTGTTTCTGATTGGTCGTTAATTTGGTATATTGTGCGCAGTGAACGACTGCGCACCTATTCAGTGCTGTGCGTTTTTTGTGTGTAAGTGAAGTGGTCATCTGTCCAGGCGGATAAAGAAAGGTGGTCGCATTCCGTACCCTCTTGACGTCACGCGGTATCGGGTACATCGGGTACAAGGGCCGGACGAGGCAGGGGGAGTCAACCCGACCGCCGCGCGCCACGGCGTACCCGTACCCGCCTGACGTCACAGATCTTCAAGATGGCAGCCAAAATCGAAATGCGACCACCTTCCTTTATCCGCCTTGGTCATCTGTGGCAAGTGGCTGACTGAAACGGAACGTGAATTGACTGCTGCACGCCGCTGTATGCTTCATGCTTCTCGATTTTTTTTGTAAGTATCTTGAGGCTCTGCATTCTACATGCGGATTATTAAACTTTTAACCATTCTGACACATTATTTAACTTGGATAATTTGATCACCTCAGTCCATACCTCTGTGACTTCCACTGTTTCCTCCTCTGAAGTATGCCCTTTTTCCTCATGGCTCGTATTATTCATGACATGACCACTCCTTTATACTAGTACTGGAAATATAATCTTTAATAGTAGTACTGAGCTAGTTGTGGTTGCTCCTATCCGTAATGAAGCGTTAGGAGACAGCACTTGAAATTGGAGTTATCGGAGTATGTTCACCGATTTCAAAATCAGGAGCGTTTAATATTTGCAGTTGGTTGCTTGACTATATGCAATGATTCCAAAGCCAGAGCCCCCTTTTTCGGCCTATTGTTTCAAGGTAATTCTGAGAAACCTTGCAACATGAATATATCTCTTCCAAGAGAGATTCTGAGGACCATCCCGTCTGGCAACAGCCAAAAATAACATTGCCGTAATGTTACTGCAACGTTATTTTTGGCTGTTTCGTTGTGACAACATTATCGTAAACGCAACTATTTCAGGCAACCACTTGCCGGGCGGGCCATTTTATGGTAAAAAGATAGTGCATGAGTGATCATCAAGTTATGTTGCACAGTAGAAAATCATGTCAGCTATAGTGGTTAACTAACCAACTTCCTCTGATACAGAGATTACACCTCTAGAGTCCACATCATATAAGTTTACGCACTTTTAGACTGCAAGGAAGCATCGTCTGACGTCTACATTCCATTGATTGTAAATACAAGAATTAAGGTGTTGGATCTTTTGTCATAGTCTAAAAGAGCGTAAACTAGACTCCATCCCCTCTTCAGGTTAGGTTGTAATGCATATGAAACTGCAAAACGGATCGTATTCTTAGTCTTCTAGTTCTTTCTAGCCAGTGTGTCCAGACTATGAAGAGCTAGGACGTTATGCGTATGTGAATGCAAAACAGATCTTATTCGATATTGGATTAGTTTGTAACAATAGAAATAACCTCAAACGAAGATTTTAGAATCCAAGTTAGTAAACCTGAGAATGATGGAATTTCTAACAATTTCACTCTTCATTGCCATGTAGGGCTCATAAAAAGTGATTACAACAACCCGTACCCACACATTACTCGATTGACTTTAGAGGCTATGTTTACGATTTGAACCAATCAATATCGACACAATCTCAGTGATAGAACGCCAGTTTGAACTCTTCATTGCCATGTAGGGCTCATAAAAAGTGATTACAGCAACCTGTACCCACACATTACTCGATTGACTTTTGAAGCTATGTTTACATTTTGAACCAATCAATATCAATACAATCTCAGTGCTAGAACGCCAGTTTGATGTATCAAGTACAGAAGCTTTAAGACAGTGATGGTGCTTCTAATCATGACTGAAAGATTCGTAATGAATAGAATCACCGCACCAAAAAAGAGCAGTTGAGTCTTATAAGTTACCTTCTTTAATTGAAGCAACAGTAACCACCATGACTACCTAGATAAATCAATGTTTTGGTTCAAAACTCAGTTTTCAATAGATGGTGTCAAACGGGAACTAGTCTTATCTTAAATGAATAAACAGATAACCCTTTAGATAAAATTGACTGCTTCTAATAGAATCCTTTGTAGTAATCGAGTTTTCTGTTTAAATTTTCAAGGTATGCACTTGAGATCAAGGATATAACAACATGTTGCGGTAAGTTATCGTTTGAAACTAGCTAATTTGGAACTGTTATTATATGAACTACTTTCTTCAAATTGGAAAAATGATAAAAATCCTGTCTTCTTGTGGCAGCCGCTTGAAGTGGTTAGTTTCTACCATTTGTAAAATTACGGAAGCACAAATTTTTCCGTGCAAATGAGAGAAATATTGTGAAAGCTAAGTATGTAACTTTTTTAAATGAATGAACTGACACCCAAGGTGTGAATTTTAGCATTATGTCGTTTCTTTCTGATCAAACATTAACACAAATCGACGGCGTAAGTCCGCAACCACGTATCTCATTTGCGGTGTTAAAAAATCTCCGCTCCTATTTTTTTTTTTAAAAGAGAACAAAGCGATTCACTTTGTCGTTTCTTTCTGAGCAAACATTAACACAAATCAATGGCATAAGTCCGCAACCACGTATCTCATTTGCGGTGTTAAAATATCTCCGCTCCTATTTTATTTTTTTAAAAGAGAACAAAGTGATATACTATCCTAAAGTTTTCGCAGAATTTTCTTGGCAGGGAGAAGAAAAATCATGGTAGTTTTTAAGAATTTCCAGCGAGTGGTTCTCCATTTAAAAAAGAAAGTATGACAGGAAGTCTGCGACATCGCAAACTGAGATACGTGGTTTCGGACTTACACCGTCGAAATAACCCTCAATGCTGTGAAAATTTGGAAAACAAGACTTTCAATTAAAGCATTAACTTTTGCTTTAAATAATTCCTTTAATTCTAACATCAACATCCCTCATACTCAATTATCGAGAGGTGTCACCGTCGTATCTCACACTATATTATTGTCATTGTGCTCTCCGAGCTAGGGAATTCTCCATGTCCTAATTATTTTCCTCTAAGGGAGACAATATAGTTTTTAGTTGTTGTACATAAGTGACTATGTAAAAGACAACTCTGTGTTTTTTCGCACTCACACTAAAAGTTAATTGAATCTATTATTTTGTTCTCAATCAAGAGACATTCTTTTTTACAGTATGACTTCAACTTTAGCTTTTTGAAAGTATAAACTACATAAGTGGACATATTTCATATCGTTATAAGGAATATGTCTTGATACTTGAATATCCACAGAAGTCAGTAAATTTTCACTAAGTCAACCAACATATTTCCTTTCAAATGTAACCTCATCAGTTACATAATCCAATCGACAGACATAGAATGAACTATTTATAACATGTAGCCAGTATTATATCAAATTTTTTTCATGTATTTTTCCTCATCTTTTGCAGAGGGCGGCGAAAATCAAAAGTTCCACTAGAAGGAGAATTGAACGTAGCCTCATTAACAGAAAAAGAAGGCAATCCAAACATAACAAAGTGCGAAGGTACTGACAACAAAGAGGCAGTGAAAATAAATACTGAACAATCATCAACTACTAAGAGGTATTTATTTACTTTACAATCCAGAACTAATAGACCCTTTCTTCTCAAGAAATAAGTCCGAATACTTGAATACCATCCGAAGTCAGTAAGTTTTCACTAAAGTCAACGAAAATATTTCCGATCAATTGTAATCTCATTACTTACATAATCCACACGACGGACATAGAATGAACCAATAATTACATGCAGCCACTACTATGTCTAATTATTTTCATCTATTTTGCCTCATCTTTTGCAGAGGGTGCCGAAAATTAATCGTGCCAATGAAAGGAGAATCAAACAGAGCCACATCAATGGAAGAAAAAGGCAATCCGAAAAAAGTAACAAAGCGTAAAGGTACTGACAACAAAGAGGCAGTGAATATAAATACTGAACCATCATCAACTACTAAGAGGTAATTATTCGCTTTACAATCCTGAACTAATTGACCCCTTTTTCTCAAGGAATAAGTACGAATACTTGAAAACCATCCGAAGTCAGTAAGTTTTCACTAAAGTCAATGAAAATATTTCCGTTCAATTGTAATCTCATTACTTACATCCAATCGACGGACATAGAATGAACCAATAATTACATGCAGTTAGTACTATGTCCAATTTCTTCACCTATTTTACCTCATCTTTTGCAGAGATTGCCGAAAATCAATCGTGCCAATGAAAGGAAAATCCAACAGAGCCTCATCAATGGCAGAAGGCAGCAATCCAAACATAAAGCGTAAAGGTACTGACAACAAAGAGGCAGTGAAAATAAATACTGAAGAACCATCAACTGCTAAGAGGTAATTATTCGCTTTACAATCCTGAACTAATTGACCCTTTCTTCTCAAGAAATAAGTCTGAATACTTGAATACCATCCTAAGTCGGCAGGTTTTCATTAAAGACAACCAAAATAATTACGTTCAAATATAATCTCGTTAGTCACATAATCCAATCGACGGACATAGAATGAACCAATAATTACATGCAGTTAGTACTATGTCCAATTTCTTCACCTATTTTACCTCATCTTTTGCAGAGGGTGCCGAAAATCAATTGTGCCAGTAAAAGGAGAATCAAACAAAGCCTCATCAAAGGAAGAAAAAGGCAATCCATACATAACAAAGAGCAAAGGTACTGACAGTAAAGAGACAGTGAAAATAAATACTGAACCATCATCAGCTACTAAGAGGTAATTACTCATTTCACACTCCTGAAGTAATAGACCCTATCTTCTGAAGGAATATGACTTAATACGTGCATATAATTAAACGTTTGTAAGTTTTCATTAAAGTCAACCAACATATTTCCTTATAGATGTAACTGGTTACTTATATCATACAGTTAACGGACATGAAATGACCCAATAAAAATGCAGCTAGCATTATTTCTGATTTTTACCTCTCTTTTTTTTCCCTCCTTTTTTGCAGAAGCCACCAAGAATCGAATAAGCCCAAAATAGGAGAATTAAAGAGAGTCTTATCTACCCAAGACAAAGGCGGACTTACCATAACGAAACGCAAATGTTTGGACAAAAAAGAGGCAATGAAAGTAAATACTGAACAGTCACCAACTACCAAGAGGTAATAAAGTCTGTAACTTTCATCGTGTAATAGACAAATTAACTATAAATCTTCTTTGAATTGGAAGCGGGTACATCAAATTACAGTAGACATAACTTCATCATCTCTTCTTGCCACAATTATAGTCATTTGTTTGTCATCAATTATTTCACATCCATTAATTAGCCATTTCTCTAGTAAATGAACCGCCACCACATATCCCTGCAAAATGTAATCACCGATGTCTTGAGAATCTGGTTCTTGTGGTTTGTTTTACAGATCGATAATATAATTACTGTTTCTCATTTTGTTAAATGTAGATAAAATTAGCTTATGTGATGTACTTTTAATTTACAATGTTCATTAAAGAAATTGGAAAAGCTGGATCCACTGCTTTACGAAGGAAGATAGGAATTTAAGTCATCAAACAATTATCATGTAATACGTAATAACATTGGCTCAGCCTATATGACAAAATGTAGAGGTTACAATAAAATCATAGATACCTCTGGAAATAAAAAAACCCAGCCTATCAGTGAATAAATTCATGAGTAGCAGTAAGTTTTACAACAAGTGTTAGCAGAGATTCTTGTAAAATAAATGTAGAATTTTGCAGAACTTATAAGCAAAGAATGATTTCTTTTCAGGTGTGATAAGGCATTTACTATTCAATCTGACTCCGATGATACTAATGATAAATCTGATGATGAGACATCACCAAGCACGGATGTTTCAAAAATTAAAAGATTGGAGCAAAAGTAAGCAAATGACAATTTTAAGTGTTGAAATATCCACAGGGGCAAATTTACCTTCTTAATAAAATACCGAGATTCATGACCGTGATCAGTTGTATTTAATTTCTGATGAGTATAATGCCTACAGTTTATTTTGTTTTAATAAATTAATTGTTTCCGGTACCCCCAAAACTGCACCTATGAATTGGATTCTACTATGTCAATATACGTAAAATCATTGGTTCATGAGTATTTCTCTTTTCACATTGCAAATGATAAGCAAAAGGCAGGGTCCAAGAACTGGAGTTTGTCATACACTCCTGCAATACAGATTAGGCTCTACTATCATAGTTATCACCTTCCGGGGATGATACTCTTGAAATAAAAAAACCCAGCCTATCAGTGAATAAATTCATGAGTAGCAGTAAGTCTTACAACAAGTGTTAGCAGAGATTCTTGTAAAATAAATGTAGAATTTTGCAGAACTTATAAGCAAAGAATGTTTTCTTTTCAGGTGTGATAAGGCATTTACTATTCAATCTGACTCCGATGATACTAATGATAAATCTGATGATGAGACTTCACCAAGCACGGATGTTTCAAAAATTAAAAGATTGGAGCAAAAGTAAGCAAATGACAATTTTAAGTGTTGAAATATCCACAGGGGCAAATTTACCTTCTTAATAAAATACCGAGATTCATGACTATAATGAAAAATTATGAATCTGATACTTAGAATTTTTAAATTTATCATTGATTTATACATGTCATGGAACTATTATTCAATGTCATTATCATGCATCGTGTTTTTATACACAATGATGCCCTTCAGTTCTAATTAAGAAAAATTTTATTCTTAAATTAAATAAATTAGACACTTTCAGAAAGCACTTTTAATATTTTCTCCAATCTGAAACACATTTTTTTCTCTTTTAAATAATCATAATTAACCTATAACTTAGTACATTCAGGAAGAGCAATAAGTTTTTTGCGAGTGATTGTGAGACTTATGAAATATGTGTAATAATGCTGCTATATTTATATAAAACCAATGTTTTTTCGCTTCTTTTTTCAGGTATGAAATCATTTCATCCGAATCATATGAGAATGATGATAAGAGTAAGGATAAAACTGATGATGAAACTAATGATACTGATGATGAGACTTATGATGAAACTAATGCTGATAGTTATGATGACACTAGTGAAAAGACTGATGATGAGATTAATGATGCAGTGGCTGATGAGAGTAATAATAATACTGATGAAGGGATTAATGAAAAGACTGATGATGAAACTACATCTAACTCAGATGTTTCCGAAATTCAGAGATTGGAACAAAAGTAAGCAAATAACAAATTAAAATATTAAAATGTCCACAACGGCAAGTACAGTTACTGAATAGAATCCAGAGATATGTGATTGAATTAAAAAATTGTTAATCTGATATTAAGTAATTTAAAATTCATTATTGATTTACATATCATATGTAACTTCTATTCAAAATCTTTCTCATGCATTGTGTTTTTATAAGCACTAGGGCCCTCGAGTTGGAACTGAGAAGAATTGTAATTTTTATACTGTTTAAATAAGACATCATCAGAAAGTACTTTTAAAATATATCCAAACTGAAACACACTTTTTTCTCTTGTATATAAACATAACAACTATTGGTTAATAAGCATTTAACTTTTCAGACTCAGAATGTTGAAAGAAAAGGAAAAGGCTAAACGCAAACTACCTTTCAGTTCAACAACAGAATCAGAAAACTGGACTATGAATGGTGAGTTGCATGCAAAATCAGTGTCATGTGTACAAGTGCTTGTACATATATCATAATTGAATCAGTGAGAACAAAAACACACCAACTCGGAAAAATGAGAATGTTTAAGAGATACTAAAAACTGCACCGTTGGTGAGGAAATGAGTCTAAGAAAAAGCTTTTTGGTGCTAAAAGACAAGTAATTAGAGTCACTTTAAAGGCCCAAATTGAAATAGATGCGCCACTTTTAATGACCTTTATGAAAACTGTGCATCTTTAATGAACATTGGACAATTTGTAGTTATCGAGTTGATGTGTTTTCGTTCTCACTGATTCAATTGCTTATCCTATTATGGCTTAAAGGCATGGTTTATGCTGATAGGGTTAGCAGCTTCAATATTGAAAACAATGAAAACAAAGAACCATGGGTTTTCCTCATAAATTTAACTATTCAATAATGTAACAATGATGTTGAAATTTACAGTGGTCCAGACCCAATGGAGCAAAACCTGTAATTGATTTGGAAAAATGTAACAAACAGTCTTGAAGATTGTTAAATTGTAGGCTTGCAGCATTTCTGCTGTATTGGGGTGGTAAAACCAGAACAGCCCAGTGCCATTAAACACAGTGTTAGTGCACCATCAAACTTAAAATCATTATCAGTTTATCCACCATCAAAAGAATGAAGGAAGGTGGAAGGTGTTTTGTCAAAATTGAAAAAGACCCCTGATTAATGTAATAACTACCTTTCTTATTTCAGATACACTAGACAAAGCATCGGGTGTATTACACGCATCTGATGTCTCAAGAACACTGATTAAAGATATCACATTTGGGGACAACCTGTTACTTGAAGGTAAAGTAACATCCCTCAATCTCTTTACACCATATGAATCTCCTAACTGCAAAGGACATAGAATTGCCTTTAAATTAGAAGATGAATCCGGAGCAATTGCATGTGTAGCATTCAATGAAACAGCTGAAAAATTTAAACGACTGTTAAAGTTAAATGGGATATATACACTGTTTAAACCCATTGTTAAACACGCAAAAGCGGAGTTTAAAACAAATTGTAGTCATGATTACGAACTAACATGTACCATAAAAACAACATTAACTGAGTCAACCAACTCAACCTTAAATGTTCAAGATTATGTACCTAAATTTATTAATTTCAAAGACATAAGTGACTTACCCGCTAATTCCACAGTTCAAGTAAAAGGTACAATAACTGATGTTTACCAATTGTCAGAAGGGTATTCTGAGAAAATCGGACGAAAATACCAAAGGAAATCAATTACTTTAAAGGATTCAGATAATAAGTACCTCAACGTTACTCTGTGGAATGTCTGCGCAACAAAAGTAACAGAAGTAGACATTGGTAAAACAATAGAAATTTTTGATGCCAAGACTACCAAGTATCAAGATATAGAAGGTATTAGTGCTTCAACTTCTCGAATGACACTACATTATTAAACAATCCATTAAATGATGTAATTCAAATGACAAACAAGGTTCAAATTAAGTATTCAATTATCAAAATGTCTAAATATTAGTGGTTCAACTTTTGAAAACATCTCATTATCCATCAGCCTACATTTATAGTTGTAGGCTGAAAGAGCTCTCGACTAAGGGTGTGTCTTTTCACGCTAAGCAATTGGTACTTTTAATCTTATCATTTTTCACTCCCTCATTAAGTACTGAATGCCAATCTTTTGGTTCTAATAAATATAATTTTAATCACTGCATTCAATATGCAATTGATTTTACAAATATTTCTTATTGTTTTTTTTCTTTTCATTTAACCGCTAATTAAAATTGTTTAATTAAATTTCATACTTTTCTTATCCACTTTGACAATCTTTCATATTTGACGGCAAGACTACTAAGTATCGAGATATAGAAGGTGTTAGTACTTCGACTTCTTGAATGACACTACATTATTGAACAGTCAATTCAGTATATAATATAAATGACAAACGTCGTTTCACACTGTTCAATTGGTACTTTTAGTCTTATCATTTTCCACTCGCTAATTACATACTAATTGCCAATCTTTTGGTTCTAATATAAATGACAAACGTCCTTTCACGCTGTTCAATTAGCACTTTAAGTCTTATCATTTTGCACTCGCTTATTAAATATTAATTGCCAGTCTTTTGGTTCTAATAACTTTCATTTTTCATCACTGTATTCAATATGCAGTTGATTTTACGAATATTTCTCGTTGTTTCTTTTTTTTTTTTTCATTTAACCGCTAGTTAAGTTGTTTAATTAGAATTAATACTTTTCTTATACACTTTGACAATCTTTTGTTTTTGACGGCAAGACTACCACGTTTCGAGATATAGGAGCTATTAGTGCTTCGACTTATCGAATGACACTACATTATATAACCATCAATTCGATGATATAATACATATGACAACCGTCTTTTCACGCTGTTCAATTAGTACTTTTGGTCTTATCATTTTTCACTCACTTATTAAATACTGATTGCCATTCTTTTGGTTCTAATAACTTTCATTTTTCATCACTGTATTCAATATGCAATTGATTTTCCAAATACCTCTCGGGTTTTTTTTCATTCAACTGTTAAATTGGATTGTTTAATTAAATTTAATACTTTTCTTATAAACTTTGACAATCTTTTGTTCTATTAACTTTCATTTTTCATTACTGTATTCAATATGCCATTGATTTTACGTTTATCATGTATTTTTTGTTTTTTTCATTCAGCTGCTTATTAATATTGTTCAATTGAATATAACACTTTTCTTGTATACTTTTCCAATGTTTTGGTTTCATTAACTTTCATTTTTTATCACCGTTTTTAATATGCAATAGATTTTACGAATATTTCTTGGTTTTTTTTTTTTTTTTTTTTTTTTTTTTTTTTTTTTTTTTTCATTCAACTGCTAATTAAAATTGTTTAGTTAAATTTAATACTATTCTAATACACTTATGTTCTTTGTCCTTAATTTTAGAAATTCCTCAGGTTGATAATGAGAATAATGTTAATCGGACAAATTCGGATACCACTCTCCCACAATTGACCATCCAAAAAAGTCTAGTGTTTAAATTCAATCAGGCAATGAAAGAAGGACCAACATATGTCTGCATGTGCTGCGGATGCTTACATTTTTTACATACTATGAATCACTACAGTAAGGTATCAACTGTACTAGTTAATTGCAGCATCTCCAAAAATGATTATTGTTTTGTAAAAAATACTCCCTACTTGTGCAACAGGTGCCTAGAGTACTTGAAAAACAACAAATTGTGTCCAATAGCATTGAGCAATGGGCTTGACTTCAAGGAAATACCAAAATGTTTATCTGACTTAAGTATTTTAGAAGAGCGTATGGTGTCCCCATTCATTCCTTTCATGCAGGTAAGAGAATTGTTACCGAATGCTATCAACTCACAACTAGGAATCAAAGGTCCCACAATACATGTACCAATTGATCTTAACAATGTCTTCCAAAAAATTTTACCCCGAAATTTCAATAATTTGTATGTAATATTAATTGAATTTAAGAGATGTATGCACCATAAATCAAACTATCTATTTGAAACTGTGAGACCATACAAGATTATTGAGGCTCTAAAATACTTAATAACTACTCCATTGTATAAAAAACACAAAATTGAAATTAACAAAGAGTTCTTCGAAAAATATGTAGGAGAATCTATTGCACAAATTTATGTAGCTCCAGATGAGGAAATTATAGATTGTATATCCAATGAATTTGATTCTCTAAATTTAAATGCCAAATACACGGATAACGATTATGATCAAGATGAATTAAATCACCTCAATGAATCACCCCCAGATCAGGAGTTTCTAGTACAAGATAATAATAGCATTATGGTCTCAAGGGCACAGATAACATTAGCTCCAGGTGAAAAAACAAAACCAGTATCAACAAATCTAGAAAATCTAGAATTTTTGTGTCACCCAAAAATATATGCAGGTCATGCATACGAATTAACTGTAAAGCTTACATACCATGATCAATCTAAATCAGAAATTTTAAGATACGATAGGAGAGCGAGCGAACCTAGAAAAGTATTGTATATGGCAAATAAGTATATTGAGAGTCAAATGCATTCAAGTGTAAACATAGCTTGTAGGAGAAGAAGGACAGAACACCTGACAGCTGGTAAAGCTCAAGATGATTCATATCTTCACAATTTGTTTACAGATGATAAAGCATATGCCTTTTTACAAAATGTCAGGACAACTCCGGCTTATTTAAATGAAAAAAGAAAGGACATTTGTGCTATGATACGTCAATTAGGAGAACCAACATTCTTTGTAACTTTGTCTGCAGCTGAAAAAGAGTGGAATGATCTAATAAGAATATTGCACCAAATTCAAAAGCACAAAAACCTAACAGATGAAGAACTGGCAGGGTTAAGTGATGCTGATAAGACACTACTCATTCAGAATGATCTAGTAACAACAGCTAGATACTTTAATTATAAAATCAAAACATTTTTCTCAACAATTTTGCTAAACAAAGCTGGGCCTTTTCACAAGCATGAAGTGTTAGACTATTTCTATCGAACAGAGTTCCAAAATAGAGGAAGTCCACACATTCACTGTTTTCTTTGGCTGAAAGGTACACCTAAGTTTGATAGCTCTAATCCACTAAACAACGAAAATGTCATTGATTTTGTTGATAAATTTATCACAATTAAACAGTCAGACATTAGTCGATACCAAATGCATAAACACACCCATACTTGTTATAAATCGAAAGGTAAACACCAACTGAAAGAATGTAGATTTAAATATCCTAAACCTATCTTTGACCAAACTACAATTCTATTTCCCAAGGGCAAAGGCAAGAAAATAACAGAAGACATTGAAAACAGTTCCCTCATTCAGAAAGCACTAAATGAATTAAATGCAAAAGACCATCTCAATGGTGAGCCATTAACTTTGGAATCTTTTTTAACTTCCAAGCTTAACGGCATGACTTATGAAAATTATGTGAATGCAATAAGATCATCTATCAAGAGCCCAGTAATTTTTATGCGTCGCAATAGCCATGAAATATCTATTAACAATTATAATTATGATATTTTATCCTTAATGAGATCTAACATGGACATTCAATTTATTATGGATGTATATTCTTGTGCCACTTATCTCATAGGATATATTGCCAAAGTTAACACAGAATTATCAAAAATCCTACGAGGTATTAATGATGAAATTACAAAAAACAAAAAAACTGCTACGAAACAAAGGTTGTATGAAATAGCCAATACATTCATGAACTACACTACTATTGGAGCACAAGAAGCAGTGTATTTACTCCTTGGACTGGATATGTGCAATTCATCACGTGCTACAGTATTTATTAATACCTGTAAACCATCGAACAGGGTAAGATTGTTAAAACCAAAAGCACAACTGAAGAACTTGCCACCAAATTCGACAGATATTTATCAAGAAGACTCCATAGCTAAATATGCAAATAGGAGACAGGAATTTAAAGCGTACTGCCTTGCTGATTATTATGCTAAAATTCAAGACAAAAAGCGTAATGCAGGATTAGATGAAAACCTAAACCTGGAAAATGTAGATCGAACAAAACTTAAAGTTATTCGTTTTTGTAATTTTAAAGAAAGTGTTGCTGAAGAAGATTATTATAGAGAACAAATCATGCTATTCTACCCATGGACAAATGAAATGAAAGATCTAATTGACATTAATTGTAAAGAAACTTTTCATTCACCACAAATCAATGAGATAATTCTACGAAATAGGTCAAAATATATTTTTGATAATGGCAACAAAAAAATTGATAATTTAATCTCTGTTATTAATGAATGTAATGATGATGGTGTACCTGAAAATGACATGGTTGATCTTAATATTGTTGAAAGTGATGAGTCTACAATCAATGATCAGAAACCTATCATCAATAGGCGTAGGTTCCCGTTACTTCAGTTCGATGACAGTGACAGCGAGATATTCTTATGTTTGAATGATGAGCAAAAAAGATTTGCACTTCAGGTATTACATAATTTCAGAGTGGCTCCGAATGAACAGTTTTTGTACTTTTTAAGCGGCATTGCTGGATCAGGGAAGACCCACTTAGTGAAGAGTCTTATCAAACTGGTTACGAATTATTTCAATTATTCAATCAACACCCGGAAAGACACAATTAAGGTACTAGTTGTCGCCCCAACAGGAAAAGCAGGCTTCCTTGTGGGCGGGACCACTTTGCATCATGCGTTTGGTCTACCAGTTAGGAAGCACCATGTTAACTTATCAGAGCTGTCAAATGATGTTGCAACAAGTTTACGTGGGGAGCTAAAGGATGTTCAACTAGTTATTATAGAAGAAGTTTCTATGTGCGGGTTGAACAGATTCGCACAAATTGATTGCAGATTAAAACAACTTTTCTGCACAACAAAAAACTTAGGTGGTAAATCAGTCTTAATAGTAGGTGATATAAAACAACTACCACCTGTGTTTGACACACCTTTATATTACACAGACTGTAATGATATCAGACATCTAGGTACATCTTTAATTTACCAGCAGTTTAAGTATTACGAATTAAAGACATGCATGCGTCAAAAGAATGATATAGCATTTGCCAAAGCATTGAGTAATTTTGGAGAAGGAATTGTACGCCAGAAAGACATCGACCTACTAAACACGCGCAATTTTGAAGACAAAATGGAGCTCATACCGACAGAGACCATTTTTTTATTCCATGATAACAAGTCAGTGGATGAGTATAATAGTAAATTATTAGCATTAAGGCAAGGAGAGAGTGCCATAAGTGTAGCATTGGACACAGTAAAAGGTAAGATCAGTAATGAAAACGCAGACACCCTCCTGCAGTTGTACAAAAATAAACCGAGAAAACAAACACGGGGTATACCATACAATTTAGAATTAAAAATATCTGGTGTTTATATGATTGTCGTTAATATTAATATCAACGATGGCTTAGCCAATGGCACAGTAGGTATATTAAAAAAAATAGTCAAGATTAATAATGAAATTGATACATTATACTTTGATTTTTTAGATGAAAATGTAGGTCTACAGACCAGAGCCAACAATAGAAATAAGAAATGTAAATATATTAGAAATAATTGGACGCCTTTAACTAAGCATGACACGATCTTAAATCAAGATCATTTTGCTGGTGGTAGTATAACGAGAAAACAATTTCCTATTGCTCCATCAGAATCTGCCACTATTTACAAATCACAAGGCAGTACATTTGGGAATATTTGTGTGAAAATTGAGCCGAGAATAAAACCAGAAACTGCGTCACTATTATACGTAGGCCTCAGTAGAACAACATCCATCAAAAAATTATACATAAATGGCAAAATAACAGCACAACACTATCAAAAAAATACTAAATTATTAGCTGAGTTGAATAGACTTCGAACTACAGCTTCATTAGAACTACCTTTGTACAGTGGTTACAAAGCAAATTGCTACACAATTTATTACCATAATACTCAGACTCTGAATAGTATAAAACAGAAAGCCATTGTCACTGACCCACTATTCAGGTCACTCGATTGCATTATACTGTCAGAAGCAAAAATAAGAAATGAAAGACAAATCCATTTGCAACCACTAAATACTTTGTATTACTCAGACAAAAATGGGACCGAAAAGAAACCAAATATCCTTTGTTTAACAAAACATTATGCAGATAAGCGATTAATTGTAACAAAGACAACTAAGGTACTAAATTATGGCTTGATGATCGACTTATTACTGCTTCAAATTAATAATGTATACATTCTGACTGGATATGCATCTCCAAAAATTTCCAAGCATGAGTTGAAAATAGAAATCCGAAAAATAGCAAAATGCATCACACCTGATTGTAAACTTATTCTCATAGGAGATTTTAATTTTGACAACCTAACTCCTGCTAACAGTCAATTTTTTAGCACATTAGTGCCTAATTATACCTTAGTATCAGCATTGCCAGTTAATAAGATCACAACAATTTACAATAGTCAACTCGACATTGTATACACTAATATACCAGAATTAATAGCAAACGTTTATACATCATTCTACAGTGATCACTATCCTATTTATGTCCAGTTAGCATTTCAATAATTATTCTCAGTAGATTAGTACCCAATCGCAATTAGCAAATTGGCATGGCAATTATGAATTGACCTCTCCATTTAGTACAAAGAAATTCAGATTTTTCCTAACAATTTGCAAGATTCTTGGAGCATTTGGTCATTAAATGACAATTTTAAATGCAGAATATTTACAAAACTTTCCCATGAAGGAAGTAGCCATATTGTTACCTTTAACGATACTTGTAATTATGATAAGCATGTTGATTTCTTCATTGTCTACTTATAACCGATATGTGTCAAACATTAAATTGATACCTTCAGATTCTCAAAGAAGTTCTTTCATTCAATTCACAATTACCAGTTGCTTCATAAGCACTACTATATCCATAGGTACAACAGGAATTTGACATCAATGTTGAGTATGCAATATATATTCCATCCGTGAGGTATTAATATGTATAAGCCACAATTTTTCGAAGAAGGATCAGCCTGAATATGATAAAACAGATATATTCTTACGGCGCGCTCTTCCAACACCAAGTGTTGGGTCTTTCAGCTTGTTATTATATTTAATAATATGAGACTTTAAAGGCCGAAAATGTCCGGTGGGTTACGCGTCGCCAACCCCGATTTTGAAGCAAAAGAGCAATTTGCGGTAACATATCAGTACTGATCATGAACTCTTTGGCAATATTTGCTGAAAAGAGACTCTAGTGTTCAAGAAAATTGCCAGTTTGAACTGAAATGTTTATTATTGAGCGAGAAAAGTCATAAGAAAGAGGTGTCGCCACATTTGGCAACAAATTTTTGCAGTTGTATTAAGTGCAGTGTTTATCTCGCCAGATGGAGTCAGGAGTTTCAAAACTGCCATCAAATTGTTCGCTGAAGTCTTCTTGACAAAACCATTACTGATAAGTCAGTTTTTTTTACAATGAAAACTTAAATTATTATGAAAACCAGTGATTTTTACGTGTGTAGCACTAATTCCTCACTACGCAAAAACCTCAATTTAATAGTATTAAACAAAAACGAAGTCTCCAAAGTTTAGAAAACTTTTAAGGCAGCATTAATTCCACCTCATAACTCAAGAATTGCCAAGTTTCATCTTTTGTATCATCTTTAATCTCACATTTTTGAGTGTCGGTTACGCTGTGTCTGTTACGTAACCGACACAATTTGGCAGGGCCGCCATGTTTGCGTGGACCTCCAGCAGTCCCGCGGAAAGCGCTGATACCTGATTCAATGGCTTGTTTATCAATCACTTTAACTTTGCACTGAATCAAAATAGAGCGTGCCAAAGCTGGAAAAAGGAAGTTTAATACCTTTAGAATGAGGTAATGAAATCCTGTTAAAATTGGTGCACTTTTATTTCTCAGGTATTTCACATTTTAACTATTCCTGTTATCGTGAAATCACCCAAATAAGCCTTATCCGAAATTGAATCAGTGGGTTCGAAAACACACCAACTCGAGTTTTTTTTCGGGGGCGGCCCCTTACAAAAAATATACAATTAGTTGATTCTCGAGCATATTATTTTATGATTTTTAAGCCAAGCATACATAGCAGCGCTAAGACGCTGACTATGGAATCAATAGGTAGTCATACGACTTAAATTGTAAACAATGCGTGTGTGCTTAAGACTCGAGAGTTATTGCTCCTCCGTGTTTGTTTTTAAATACGTCCATTGTTTGTTCTCTCCAGGTTCCAGCTTGACGTGTCTCGTCGCGGTTGAATGAAGTGCGAAACGCTAACATCACGTAAAATGTGTCGTAACACTTCGAGATACGTATCTGGCACTCGAAATAAAACAGTAAACTTGCATAAATTGCCCTTTTACTAGTGCTGAGCACAAATGAAAGCTCTGCTTTTGCTCGATGTCAGTCATGAAAGAATCGAAATAGAATTACACGCGTTTTTCGTGCGGAAAGACGAGAGCTTTGCTACCAATAGAAATGCTAATCATTAAGTCAGAGCTCGACTGCAAAGTGTTGCAGTATGCTTTCATGTTAAAGATTTCTAAAAATAAATGTTTCATGCCCGTTTTCAACGGTGTTTCCTACACTGGAAAAAAACACATTGGATCAAGAGTCCAGACTCTTAAAAACATCGACAAGAAAAAGCTGGCAAAGGTTTGTAAAAACTCAAGTGTTGACAATAAAACGTGAAAAATAATTATTTAAAAATTAAGATTTTATCATACCAAACTGAGTTGTGAGAGAGACAAGCAGCAGACATTACCTGAAAAAGAGAGAAAAAGAAATTAAATACTGTACCATTAACATTTTCAAAATTAATTGATATACACTAAATGTCTTACAAAGCATTGCGTTTCCTCCTGAGACAGCGAAAAAACTCTGGTGTTTTTGAGAGGTTTTATGATTTTTCTAGCAGGATACGTTCACTGGAAAAAAACACATTGGAGAGTCCAGACTCTTAAAAACATCGACAAGAAAAAGTACTCTTGATTCAATCGGAATCTAGCTTAAATCAAGAACCAAACCTCTTAATTTAAGCGGATTTCGTTTTGATTCAAGCAAAAATCCGATTGAATCAAGATAATTTTTTCTTGTCAATGTTTTCAAGAGTCTGGACTCTAGATCCAATGTGTTTTTTTCCCCCAGTTTATGTAGTAATCTGTCTTCTGGTCATCTCCAAAAACCTGCACGGAGAATCCGATTGTGAGTAGGGGGAACTCGGAAAAATGTTGACATGTTTCATTGCTTTGGTATGAAGACCGTGCGCACAATCATACATAATCTTCAGAATTTCGGGTGATTTTCCAGAAGCTTTTCCTCAGCGCGATTGCACCGATTCATTGACATTCGATGACACTCTAGGTGTAGCACGAAAATGATATGATAGATTCAAGATCTAGATTTCAATTTTCCTGTGTCAGACGTAATAGCCGCAAAGCTGATTGCAAACAAGTAACGCCTCAAATGACAATTTGTCACCATCCGGCCAAAGTATCACAAGCGCCATCGCTGAAAAATTGGAATTAGGAGTGACTTTTCGCGGTTCGGGACTTTTCTGGTTTAAACCGACAATTCAGCTGTCAAAAATGGAAATCTTTTTCTCTTCGATCTATTATCTACTGTTGCATTTTAATTTGCGACAGATTTTAAACAAAGCTTATCACGAGCGCCATCAGGTTTCAAAACAGGGTATCACAAGTGCCAAAATAGACCCGTAACTTGGCTTTTCTCCATAAATGTCTGCAGTAGGTGATAAGAATGATTCTGAAGATGTGTTCAAAATTTCGAGTCGATTTTATAACAACCATGATTAACTTTTTCACTTTTAAATGATCCCCCGAAGATCCACTCTTAATTAGCGCTTGCGATACTTCGACCGGAAGGTGACAATTACGAACTGACGATCAGGTTTCGACTAATCTGCAACGATAAAAAGGCCAGCTATTAATATGCTCTTGTCGAGTGCATACAAGAGCGAAGCGAGCTGATTCCATGCACTTACAACGACTGAAAATTAGCGATTTTCAGATGGCCGTCCGACCAGTTTCCGATGCAAGGTCGCGTCGGCGCCGGAACTTCACCGTGTGCCTTACAGTCGTCTGGACAACTTTTAGCCCACAATCAGGAACAACTCCCAACAGGACACTCGTCTAGTCGTCTACGGTGCCAAAAAGTAGGTCAGTTTCTCTCTCCATCTCCATCCTCCGTCTCCCCTGGGATCCGATCAGCTTCGGACATCGCGCCAAGACGAGCTGGACCCGGTCAAGCTCAAGCTACACAGACACTCAATTGAATATATTTATGGTAAAAGGAACTAAGTGCATAGGGACTGCGTGTGACATAGTTCCTTTTAGCGTACGTCCAATTGCGCAGCTCATTCAAATATCTCCCGCTTCATCTTCCTCCCCCCCGTCTCATTTTTCTTGGGTGATCCTGGACTCGGGTATGTGCTCCAGTGAGACAAGACTGTCCATTCTTCAAATGCCCGCGCATGTCCTCGCCTCCCTCTCTGAGCGACTCGCCAAACCAGTTTCATGCATGGTTAATGTTCACTCCTCCTACGAACGGAGGAGGGGGGCTTATTGGGGGGACGGGGGGCGAGGCGCGGGGGACCGGGGGGCACAGGCAGGGGGCATCCCGATCTCGGCTCCGGAATCTTCTTCGAGTAACCTCATGCCCGAGACCTTTATGAATGAACCGAGTGCATCTTCGGAACGAGGATGCAACACAAAACTATTTACTCACTGTTCGGTTTTAAGTGAGCTGCATGTGCAAGGTGTTTACACTCTTACATTTTTTACTTCACGCATTGAATTCTTGAGATTCTCTGGTTTTGACTCAAATGCGTTTGAGGTGATTCGATAGAAGCCATATTTTGTGTCAGAACGGCATGCGATATATCGCATCAATTGGTTCCATTTTTTCAGCTACTCGTCATTTTTTTCCAATTTTAAGATCGCAATTCTGTTGTCAGGAGACTAAAGCACTCACTTACCAATTTTAACAAAGAAATTCAACGTAATAAAGGCGTGGTTTTTTTAGAGAGAAAATATCACATTCGAGTGCAGTTTCGATATCAGTATCGAATGCGATGTTTTCTCTCTAAAAAAACCACGCGATCTCAAAATTGGAGAAAAATGACGAGTAGCTGAAAAAATGGAGCCAATTGATGCGATATATAGCATACCGTTCTGACACAAAACATGACGTCCATCGAATCATCTTAATATTTCTTTCACTGGGGAAAAGTCTCTTGGATTCAGAAATAATACTCTTCATTCCATCGGATTTTTGCTTGAATCAAAAAAATATCTGCTTAAATTAAGAGACGTGCCTCTAGATTCCCTTCCGTTCGAATCCCTTCTATTCATGAAATACCAAAGTTTAAAGAAAGTTAGAACATTTTTTGAGAGGCTCTCTAGCAACACTGGAAAAAAGTCTCTTATTGGACCCGGGGTCCCGACTCTTGAAAAATTTGAAACGAGAAAACACTCTTGATTCAATTGGATTATTGCTTGAATCAAAAGAAAATCCGCTTGAATTGAGAGACGTG